ATATTATATTTAATCACTTCCTAGCATGCTCAGCCTGGCGGCCTGCAGTTTGAACAATATTCACTGACCACTAGCTACGTTCTCTTACAGAGCTTATTGTACCAAATCTGCAACAGAAAAGTTCATCAATAATATGAAAGAAACTTCTAGATTACATCAAAAATCGAACATCCCACATTTTTTTAGTGCTTTAAAACTCATCAAGCGTGCAAACTCTGTTGATTTCCTTTTATATGTATGTATAATGAGAGCTTGTCTTATCCCCGAGATTGAGCGATAATCAATAGTTTCCGTGAGATCACTTTATTAAACATTATACAGTGACGCCGTTATTATGAAATGAAATTTAAGACGTCAGTGTGCTCGTTTTGTCTCCTGTTATCGTAGTCTTATCAATCTGTTTATGTCATTGTTGGTTGTGATGGAGATGTTTTTTCCTCAATTATCAACCCTTCCTTTGGGGAGCTCTCATTTTAAACAGAAAGCAACTATGCTAATTTACAAGCTGTTGATGTCAGCAAACATAGAAACTTTAAATCGATCTATCTTTGTTATTCTCTCTTGCCATGCATGGGTCTTTTACATCCCACATTAGGGACAGGTGCGTGTTTTGTAGCATTTCATCAGAAAAAAATAAGTACAAAATAAAATGTTTTAAATACCCTATTTGCTCACTAAATGGAACCCACGCCATCTTAGAGACTTCGTGGTTCTGAAGGGAAGATCCAGTAATTGACGCAAAAGCAGACTCCGTATAGAGATCGTAGACCAGCGAGACTTACGTACAGCTGTCTTGACATATCGAGCCTATATGCCCCCGCTATAGGAGACAGTGGTGTCTATATTCACTGTTACACCCTCTAATCAAAGTTGGAGAAATAAATTCAAATCCCGAAAAAAGCAATTGTTGTCGTGTGAGGAAGCTGTTCATCCGCTGTCATCATCAATAAATCGACAGCATGCGGGGAACATCTTGATAGTTCTCAAGCTGTCAACGCCAAGTGACCAACTCGACATGTAGGAATGCTGCATGCATGAAACAGTAGATAAGTAACTCATTCACCAAAGTATATGTTTCTGTATATATTTCATATATAATATATATAGCATCTCGTGTTGCATCTGCTAATTGATCTTAAGTAGCTGACACAGTGTTTATGGCAACACTTGCTCTCTTCTTTTAACCGGACAAGAGGGTGTATGGTCTTCAACACATCAATACAAACCTAGGATTTAAAGAGGCACTATAATTGTAGTGTTAATTCAGCCGCCAACATTCAGATGGTTCAGTTGCACAATGATTTGACAGCTGCTAGATGGTCTTACAGCTCTTAACGCCAAACAGGAGGACTGGGCAAATCTCATTGCTGAAAATAACCATAGCGGAGAAATAGCGATAAAAGAACAACACGCACATCGGTAACTACTCAGAGATACCACCAAGGAAAGGTAGCAAACAGAAACGAAAAAATGGAATAGAATGAAACCACAAAAAACGAATACCTCTTTTCTATCACCCAAAAATATTAATACTACTCAACACCATTGTTATGCAAACACATTTTAAATTAGTTTACACCACTGCCAACAACGTCTGAAAACTTTAACTACCATCAATAATGTGGATATAACAAAACAATCATGCTCAAAAGTCCATTAAACAATCCAAATTGAGAGCAAAGCAAATGCAGGCCTTTAAAACATCATAGACTGGATCAGGTGCCATGGAGGAGTAAGCATCCCCCTGTTGATATGTCACTCCAGCCATGTGCTTCCTGTCATGATCAGGCAAACGGGAAATAAATCTGTACACAATTCAATATATAAATAATAGTTTAACAATTTGTATGAAAAGAGTTAGCCAACATTTGAGTTAATGATAGATACATGTATTTGCTAATAAGGTCATTTCATTGGCCATAGATTTTGCGTAATTTTAACCATTACCATGTTGATATCTTTGTTTCATTAATTTGTTTGCCAATAGCTTGCCTCCTTTTAGAAATTGTTCATACGCAGAGCATGCTCTTGCGTATTTAATCATCTAAGAGTTTGAGATAAGCCTCATTATCAGGTGATATTGCTGCATAAGTATACATGTATAAGGGAAGTTGATAAAAAAGTTGAAGTCATCACGTTTATCATAAAGCTTTGTTGTTAGGTTTGTTGCCTAGATAACGAAAATTAAACACAATTTTCCCCTAATTTTTATAAACAATGTGTCTTATATCTTTTAATTGTGATTTCCTTGCTGTTAAAGATCTGACGATATATGATCTATATACCGTGGCTAATCATCATAGAAAATAATCAGCATAAAAATGTTTTACACCCTAAGACATTGCACTAAATAACTATTTAAAAGAGGAAAAAAATTCAGGTGACCTTGACATTAATCTAAAGAATGCAGTATACAACAAAACTGGGTAAGTGCCTTCTGTCGTGTTTCCACTTATAAATCAGCTCTGGTCGTCACGTGTTGCTAGATTGCTTGTTGTTTTTCCGTCATCCTTTGTTCTCATTTTGATTGTAAATAGATTTCTTTTGAAATGATTGTATATAAATTTTAATGTTACAGTTTCTTTTAAATGGTAATTGAATTACCCGTCTACGCGAGATGCTATCAGATGATATGACGTGTATATGAATATATACACCTGTAGGCCTGGAATTTAAAAAGGGCGTTTTTTAGTCAAGGTTCGACATTTTAAATATAAAACTTTATCTACTCGTGTCTTCAATTTTTTACTTTTGATTTGATTAATTTTGAAGGTTCCCATCGTCTAAAGCCACTGTCCAGAGTCCACAACAGTGGCTCTAAGAATGGGAGAGGAGCGCATTTTGGCGCGCGCCCCCCCTTTGTCAAAGTTAGCGTAATTCAAATATGTCTACTTGGTAGACCTCATTTTCACCCTTCAAAATCTCTATATACAGGAGCTTCCGGGGGCTTCGCCCCCTGGACCCCCCCCAGGGCTTTGGTAGACATAATTTTTACCCTTCAAAATCTCTAGAATCCATAGGAGCTTCGCCCCCCCCCCACCAGGGCTTTGCCCTGGACCCCCCCCCCCCCCCCCTTGCCTAATTTTGGCGCCCCCTCTAACTCCAAATCCTGGATCCGCGCCTGCACATATACATGTAGCTCTTCAGAATGGGAGAGGAGCGGACATTTTGGCCGTGGTTTGCCACGATAGGGGTGCTCCAAGCATGCGTGCACTGCCTGTTACGAATCTGTTCCATATTGATATTATTACATGATGCTCTATATACGTTTAAGTTTCCGGAATTTTGTGTGTTTATATACAGGATATGTAAAACTTGAGTTGTGTTTAAAACGCACTGGAATGCACATTTAGTTTCAACCCCCCAAAATAATAAAATGTTGATTTGTCTGTTTTTAAACTCTTATCTAATAATATAATAAAAATCCAAAAAGCAAACAGAAAAAGTTATGTGCATCACAAGAACGTGAATGTGATAACAACTTTTTAAAAATAATATGAATTTTTAAAATTGTTAATCCATAGTACGATCTAGCTGAAACAAGAATCAACACCTACATAACACGTTTATTTCAATCCATTTGCATTCGGAAATTCTATTCAAACGAAGCTATTAAGGGTTTGCCATGCAAAAATATATCATGTAATACCATGTATTCTTCGCTTTGGTGTCCACGTTCATTGATGTATTTTTAATGACTCTGAAGGCATTCTTCTGGCAGATATTGATAATTTGAAACTTTATAGTTCTAATAAATAAAATCCTTAATTACACGACGGCTAAATTTGCATGATTTTGCTGTAAAGCAGAGATCTATGTAAAAATGAAACGCAAGAAAATCGACCGTTTGTGAAATACAGCTTACTTTTCTCACGGGACCGAGTTATTGTCTTGATTATCATTTCAACCAACTGGTTTAAAAATACGAGGTAATTGACTCATCCCATCTTATCACTGGCGTAAATGCCTATAGAAATATATCTTCAATTAATAAAATATTGATTGTTTACAACATTGAATATCACGTACTCCCTTTTTTTTTATGACAACTAATGAAATAAATATTTTTAAGGTCAGAGATTACGAAAACATTAATTTAAAGAATTCTTAGTGTATAGGCGTCAATTAAGCATGGATTACTTATAAATATTTGTACATACGTAATATTTAAACGTTTGGCATAGACTTTATGTATGCATTAGCGAGAAAGAAGCATGTGAAATATGTAATCTCTCTCTCTCTCTCTCTCTCTCTCTCTCTCTCTCTCTCTCTCTCTCTCTCTCTCTCTCTCTCTCTCTCTCTGTGAGGGGGTGGGTGTTTGAATTTATTATATGGTGAAGATAAATTTCTCTGTATAGCTTAACTGATTAAACAAATTTCTTATGGCATATGTATACGTAATAAATTCTAACAATTATAATCCAGGAAGGAAATTTTCTACAAGGAAAATCAATACTAGTCAATATTTTATAATGAAGCTACCCTACTCTAGAACATATCAGGATCAAAGTAATGCAATCAGGTAAAAAAGATACGAATTTCAGACCTAGCGACCGACATGTCTAAACACAGCAAGGAATGCTGCCGACCCAAAGTGTATTAAAAAAGAATTATAATCAATAAATTTCTGCCGTAATTGCATCTAGGGTATGTAAAATTCTCTTCTTATTAAAAATTAATGATTTACCTCTCTGAATTCTGGTCATAAGATTTTGAAATGAAGTAAGAGTGAATACAAATCAAGTGTAAAAAAACAAAAAACAAAAAAAAAAACAACAGATAAACCCAACTTTTTCACAATAATTTTTTTTTGTATAAAATTTTACTAGATCTAAACGCAGACGAGAATAATCTGCTTGTGCTGTTTGTATACGAGTGATTCATAATTTTGTTTGAAAAAAAAAAATGAGTTGATTGTGCACATCTGTGGTGAAGAGTAGGCGACTATTTACATAATAGGCAACACTTTACAAAGAAATTTGAGGAATGTCGTAAAAGATCTACCCTGGCAAAAGGTGAATGCCCCAGTGACCCGCCGTGAAATTAATCCGATTTTCAGGAAACCCTGGCACCTTCCTCAATCTTACACCATCCATTTTATTGGAACTCGTATTAAAGGTGTTAAATAAGAAAGGAGATGCAATAATCCACACTCCTGGAGCATTAAATCCCGGGAGGCCAAAATAATTACATTTGATATCAGAGCTTCATACACTCTTTGTTTCTTTGGTTCCTGGAATTGATAGAACCCAAAAAATCAAGGAGAAACTTATCTTCCAGAGACGAGGTGGAAACTTATACCCACCAGAAAATCTTCAGAAGTAAATATTGGGCTATCTGATGTGTAGGGTTTTAGAGGTAATAATGCTACTTTATTTTGTTTGCCAGCACAAGAAGCATCGGAACGGAGCGTCATAACTGACTGTCGCGATCATTACGGTATCAATTTAGACTCACTGGATCCTTCTCCAGGCACGTTTCTCAGGAATCCACGCTACGTCGACGTCGGGATATATAGTTCCTTTTTATTAGGTGAGTACTATTATATTTTATTTATAGCGTTTCGTTATTGGTAATCGATCATTCCATTATTTTCCTTACACAAATTCCATTGTTTGTACATATTTATCAGCGTTGCTTGACCTTTTTAAAATTAAAAATTAAAGAATTTTAGACATCAAAATTCACGATATGCTGCATTGGGAAAATATTGATTCACACCAATCAAACGAATAGAGTGTCGGTTTGAGAGAGAAAAAGAAGGAAACCATAGAGCACTGGTTTCTAACACCAATTCATTTCTCATTATTGCTTCAAGCCCGCTTAATTAAATGTTCCGTGCAATGCATAACACATATCCAGGATTCTTTCGTGCGAAGCGTGTATATTCCTCAGCTAATACGTTGTTTGAAAGATAGAAATCTCTCTTAAGAGTCTCTTGAAAGCTTTGCTCAAACATTCAATAAACAGATAGAAGTGCACGGACCTCATCCAATATATATATATTAGATAGGAATGTTAAAAAAGACAAACATCTGGATCAGTATTTGATTTGTACACTGGGCATCTGGTGGATTTAGAACAATCTGTCTTATCTTAGTCCGTTTTAAGTGTATTTGATTTACCAGAGTATCAGACAATATCAATGACATAATGAAGATTTATTCTTATTTCTATGCTGGCTGTCACTTGACAAACAAATATATAGTTGATTTTTCCATCATAAATATTATTTGTCTTCCAAAAGAGGGATTTCTTTTTAGATTGATGTGGCAGTCTGTTTGTCCCTCTGTTTACAATCATCTTTGAATAAATGGAGTTACAGTCTAAAGTTTAGTACATGTATTTTTCCCATATATGACATTAAATAAAGTTTGTCATGATAGGGACTTAAGGTCATTTCCCAAGGATCAAAATCTTAATTTAATTAAAATCGTGCTAATAATCCGGTCGAATGCAAATCTCCGTTGCACGTTATTAAAATTAATTAAATTTCAAATATGACATCTTTTCTTCAGGTCCATACGATCCGGGACGTGCAAAGTGCAACCCTGCCCCTAATAATTTCACCAACATACCGGGTATTCTATACAATATAAAAACAAGCTTATTTAAAATTATGGTCCCTCAATAATAGCACTTGATGCCCCTGTGGTTCGCCTATTTTGCTTTTCAAGGACGTTCCAATTTTTGTTCGTTCCTACCCTCAAAAGTGTAAAAAAAATTTCTTCCTAGGGTACTGATCATTGGTCTAAAGATGTGGCATGGTTATATCTTTGGTATATTTATTTCAGGCTCTGGATCAGGGCGCATTAGTTGTTTAATTGATTCTATGTGGAAGGATTGGTTGATTGTTGTTAACGTCCCTCTCGAGATTTTTTCACTCATATGGAGACACTACTTGCCAGTGTATGGCTACTTTTGTCCTATACACGGCACTCAGGGTCATTGAGAAGGGAGGGATATTTTTCGTGTCAGCACCTACTGCAACATGTACGGGACCTCGGATTATACGGTCTCATCTGTAGGACCGGTCTCCACGTCTCACAGTAGGATTCGAACCCGCGACGTACTTGGATCAACTCCTTACTCCGCGACTCTAGAGCCAACCAAAACAGCCAGGAAGGACAAAGGTGTTATTAATTTAATTTTGATATATCTGATCTTTTGTATATTGCTCCTTTATGACAAATGTTAAGTTTATACCTTGGAAAAGGATCTGGTTAATTGCAATCTCACAACATGGAATATCTATGTTTGGATAAAACATGATCATTTGATCCATTGTGAAAGATACATGCGAATCATTATGGTTCGCAAATACATGGAATTTTGAACTGAATGACAAATTAGTTTTAACATTTAAAATAGGTCAAAATCGCAGCGATGACAATTGCACTGATTTTTCAACAGTACAGTTTCAAAACAGAAACTTCTCGATATTTAGAGTGGCATGATCGCCAGCACTGTGCTATAGTGCTACTTATTTACGATCGAAAGCTGCATGAATGAACCACTTAATAAAATCACATTCTTCTTAATATCGTATGCTATCGAAACAATTCGCTGATAGTGATGCAGTAGTAAGGACTAGATGTATCTCATTATAGTTTGATATACTTCTTCTGGTTTAAATATCTCATTGTACGTAGAAACAAGCTAATTCAGAGAATTTGTGTCCCCCGCTTAGGGAAAAAGTAAACCATGCGCAGTTCGGTGTCTAATTTAACCTTTATTAAACAGTTCTAATAGATGAAATAAGAATATAGAGTCCGCCGAGAACCTGTTTTATACGTAATAACTCTCCTCATGTCCCTGTGCTAAAAATAGCGACATGTAATACAATAAATACTTCTAAAACAAACGGGGCGGGACACTTTGAGAGGGGTGAGAGAGGTCTTAGGGACTTTTGGTATAAAATTCAATTGCAAAGGCTCAAAATCTTCTTGAAATATCCCCCGTGTTACACACAGACAGAATGTATATATTTACGACCTGAACTTTGACCTTTTGACCTCAAAATCAATAGGGGTCTTCCTTAGGCCATAGGAAGTTGTTATGTAAAATTTCATGGCAAAAGCTCAAAGGGTTCTCGAGATATCGTGTGGAAACGAAAGTGTTATAACAGACAGAATTTGCGAATTTATGACCTTGAACTTTGACCCTTTGACCTCAAAATCAATAGGGGTCTTCTTCAGTTCATAGGGAGTTGCTATGCAAAATTTCATTGCGAAAGCTCAAAGGGTTCTCGAGATGTCGTGTGGAAACGAAAGCGTTACAGACAGACAGAAAGACGGACAGACGGACGGACAGACGGACGGACGGACAAACCCAAATTAATATCCCCCACTTTTCAAGCGGGGGACAAAAAAAAGTAAACATGTGTCAAAATAAATTAGTGAACCGATATTTAAAATAGAAAATTAGGCATGTAGAAAGATGTAAAGTGAAACTTACATCAGTTTTTTATTGGGTTTTTTTTTTTTGGATACCAAGGTAAAACTTAACGTGGTATTTACGAGCTTTTTTGAAAAGGAAACCATTTTTTATCTGGGTGAATTAAATATCTCAAATCTTTACATCACCCGGAGCGCTTCTCCTAATGGTTTTATAATAAATTCTGTTTTGGGAAGGAAAATAGATAAATAAAGTTGAACATTACTTCAAATGATATACGTTAATCTATGGTACTGAATGGTATATTATCAAACTAGTTTATTTTGGAATTACAGACCGAGAGAGTTAAACTTTTATTGAATTTTATTCTGAAAAAATAAACATCATGCTTGAGGTCATGTGTTAGTGATAGAGTTCACCTGATTGATAAATGTGCCAGTGTATACCAAACAACACCGCCCGATAACTTAAAAAAACGAACACCATCTAATCTGCCATTGGATATGAGCTGTCGAGAAAATTCACGAAAGCTTTTTTTCTCTGTCATTAATAATAAGATGATGGTCGAAAATAAAGTCATTCTTTAAAATTGTGAAAATGACCTGACAATATTCTGAATTGTTTCTGCGTTTTATCTTATTAATTCTATTTCATATAATGAAAGATATAATTTCTAAACTCGTTTTAAAAGTATTATTTATAATTTTGTTTTTACAGATATTGCATGTACACCCATCGTATTTCACTTCTTGTTGTAATAGAATTATGTAAGAAGAACTGTAGAAAATCGTTTGTTACAAATAATCAGAAGCCCATGCCATGACGCGCGTGTGTCAGGTTATGTCCCCTTTTTCCCTTCCCAGTGATTGATTTATGTTTGGCTCATGCTATCTTGTACCTGAAAATGAAAATGGTTCCATAGGTTCCATAACTGTCCGTTGTCTGTTGAATTATGCACATGACAATCCTCGATCATTGTATTACTTAATTAGGACTCCCGATTCTCCAGACCTTTTTTTCTGTTTTAGTTAGTTGCCAGTGTAACAATTAATGTTTTATGTCATATCTTTAAAATGTAAAACCACGGTAGATCTGCCTGACAAACATTAGCTTTCTCGAATCCTTTGGTATAAAGCAGAATCGTCCTAGTCCTCGTAAAAAAGTGTAACCGAAGCGTATGATTTTATTTCTTGCAGACTTTGAAACACAGAATTAATGAAGTATTAAAATGTTTATGCTGCGCATTCTGCCGCTTTCTGCTGCTCCTCAGTGAATTGTGCATCAGCTGTGATAATTTAGGAAGCCTTCGATCAGTAAACAGGCAGGCTTTCCGATCTCTGTTACAGCGACTGATAAAGATTCGGTATTCTGGGTTCCATCAAAATATTTTCAATGAATAAAAATGCATGATTTTTTATGCCCCCGCCATGAAATGACTGGGACATATAATGTTATCTCTTTCCATCAGTCATTCCGTCATAGTTATTCCTTCATAATTAGTTTTCTGCATTTTATGCCCCCATAGTCGAAGATTCCGGGGTATATAGTTCTTGTCCTGTCCGTCCGTCTGTCTGCTTGTCTTTTAACCTAGCCCATAACTTTTGAGTGGGTGCATGAGGCTATGGCTTTCATATCACAGGTGTATTTCTTAGAACAAGCTTTAAAGACCGTTCTTCGGTTAACACTAAATTTGACCTCATGACCTTGACTTTCGAGTTTAACCCACTTTTACAAAAAAATTCCAAACTTTAACCTTTGCCATAATTTTTGAATGATTGATTCTCGGTATTTCGTATATTTCACAGGTTCATTCGTTGAGACCGTCTGCTCTAGAGTCGCGAAGTAAGGAGTTAATCTTTACGTCGCGGGATCGAATCCCACCGTGGGACGTGTTTACCGGTCCTTCGGATGAGACCGTATAAACCGAGGTCCCGTGTTGCAGTAGATACTGGCACGAAAAAGATCCCGTGTTGCAGTAGATACTGGCAAGAAAAAGATCCCTCAATGCTCAATGGCTGTAAGGATATGACAATATGTGTGCATCTGTCCACCGGCAAGTGATGGCGTCTCCATATGAGTGAAAAATTCTCGATAGGGACGTTAAACAACATACAATCATCAATCATCTTTGAGAC